CCCCAAAACCCCAAAACCCCAAAACCCCAAAACCCCAAAACCCCTTAAAGAAAATTTTTTATGGAAATCTCTATTTTTTTAACTAAGTTTTTACTAAAAATTTGTGAATGAAGTCAAAAGTTCAAGTTGAACCGAGGAAAATGATCAAGCGAGGCAAACATGGTCATACTGGCAGTATTGACTCAACTAAGCATTCAGCATCTATTTTTGATGAATTCAAGGAGCTTAAGACTGATCGACCAATTCAAAAATCCTCAGATCTACCTGAGTCTGATCACAATGTTCCTCAAGAAGCTATTAATGAGTATGAAGAGTTTTTAGCTCATAAGGACTCAACCGAAAGATTAGAAAGGATCATTCAGGAAGTTCGGACGATCGATGAGAGAGCTCATCATGATACCAAGAATCTACTTAATGAACATCTCGATAGAGAATACGAAAGAAATGCTATTCTGCGTGAGTTAAAATTTGAAAGATTCAAGCAAGCCAAAAAGGACAAACAAAATGCTAAACAAATGCAGGCGCTGTGGAAACTTATGCAGAAGAAAGATAGGGAGTATATAAGTCAGATCCAGAAATACCAGCATCAACTAAAACTAATCAAACAAGGGAAAAGCTTCAAGGAATCTTCTAGTGACAAAAGATCAAGTCTGAACAAAAGTATGAAACAGACTAACAAGGAAAAGATACATAAAGCTCTTTCTCCATATGGAGCTTATTGTAACAGCATAAAGAGTAAAAAGTTAAGGAGACTTAGTAAGACAAATTCAGCTATGTCTTCTCCAAGGAGTTCCTCTATCTCTATCACCCCATTTGAGGAGAACAAGGCTGCTGCTTCGAGCTCTGCGATGACTACTCCACGTAAAGGCGAGAAACATAGGTATGAAAGTAATAACTACTCTGACCAATCTGTGCCTTCAAAGAGATCTTTTGCAAGAAGCAAGGGGAAGTTTAGCTACAAACACAAGGTTCAGAAAACTTCAGGTGCAAGGAGTTCTGGTAAAAGCTCCTCTTTTATATGCACTGAAGGGAATTCGCAGCCTCCTCTGCTGTTAAAAACACCTGTGAAGCATGGAATTTCGAAGAATCCATATACTAAAGATGAAAGAGGCTCCAGAGCAGATTGAAAGGCTTCTGATTCCGAATCATTTGTCAAGATAACTTCAGATGAGCCTTTGGTTCAGGGGGATAGCTGGGACAAGAGAGAAAGAAAGAGCTCTTCCAGAACCTCACTTATATGAAATGAGGAACCTATTCCAACAATGCAGTGTTCTACCTATGATACTTTTAGAGAAATGGGTAGCAATGGAGGTGCGCTGGATAAAGCCTTCCAGAAAATTGCTCTGCATAATAAGTCTACAAAGTCTCTTATCAGCTCAGAGACAAGTGAAGACATTATTTATGAATTAAGCTACAGAGTTGAAGATTTCTCTGAATTGAGCTGCTCTGCTAAAGACTCACCTTATAGAATGAATCTAGGAAGTTCACATGATTCTACTCAGAAATATGCAGTCAACGTTGACAGTTTTTATGAGGATAAGATATTAGACAAGACAATGAAGACCATTGCTGAAGTTTCAGATGAGAATTATTCTTCTAAAGAGCACTCAAAATTAGCCCAACCTATGAATCCCAGATCTTCAGAGAATTGAAATCCTTCACATAAGAAATCAGGTGTAAATGTAAGCGATCTGATGGTTGATTGCTAAACATTTTAGATGCCTTATCCATACACTTGTAAACCAAAGTTATTCCAGCATTGACAGAAAGTTCAAAATAAGCATGCATCTTTGTACAAAATACAGCCTAAGTAAGATTTTAGTTTACCAAGAAAATTCACCGGATTGATTCCTTATCTCTTGAATAATAACAAGCTTTATAACAAAATTAGATTAATTATCTCCGATGAGCAGAAAGAGAAGCTTTTTAATGGGAACAAAGAGTTTGAAGGCATCGTTAGACCATCAGACTTGGAGTCTAGTTCTGAAAGCGAACAAAAATGTATGCTTAAAACTCATTATTTCTCTAGATTTTTACACAAACGAAGACTATAATCCAATGGTATTGATTTGTTCACAACATTTAGAGTGAAACAGGAACAATTACAGGTATAGAGCGAGGCCAAATCTTCTTCAGTAAGGAAGGTAATTAATTAATGTATCATTCTAGACTTCGATTTAAATCATGAAGTGTTGGTTACAAACTCGAATGATTACTTAGGAGCTTCTTCCTATAATGAAGACTTCTCGTCTCCCTCTCAAATCATAAGCAAGGCTGTTCTAAGGACTGAGACCGAGCACAGCCCTCGAGGTTAGTCTACATATTTTCTAAAAACTCAATATTTGCATAAAGTACAGGGGTTTTGGGGTTTTGGGGTTTTGGGG